AATGATATATAAATGTTATATATTAATGTTTTATGGTATTTATATAGCCTTTTTATCTTACTAACGAACTCGTTTAAACGGTTGTGTCGAGTGCTCTCTATTGTGTTTTAAGTTAAGATAAGTTTGATTCCATTTTTTTATAATAAAATGGAAGACAAAAATAGAAAAAAATATATTTCCCTATCCCGGAGGCAAAAGCGGAGGAGAATTAATGCAGATCTCAAAATAATGGGCGTGGAGGTAAGAAATTGTATAGAAAATAAACAAGACAATGTGGAATATACTGAGGCTACAACCGAAGTATTATCTTTCCCTAACCAGCCAATAAATAAACATATAATAAAAATATTTTTACAGAAAATTTGGGAGAATATTCAGGAGGTCCTAGGAAAAATTCCCATACTTTTATGGAAGATTTGCAAGATTTGTGTAATAGATGGTTCCCGGTCACTTTCCCGAATGCAATTTCCCGACTGACCAATTTTCCGATAGACCATTTTCCCGACAAACCATTTTCCCGACGACGTTTTTCCCGACAGCACTCTTCCCGACAGACTATGTTCACGACAAAAATCTTATTATCCAGTTAAGAAACGTTCAAACGAAATGTTCACGACAAAAGTTTCTAGTAAAGAAAAACATACCTGGTCAAAAATTATTTCTGCTTGTTCCTTCTGGAATTCTGTAGGGCCAATGGGGCGGGGTCGGTTGGGTTGGGTTGTTGGGTTTGGGTTGGTTTCGAAGCGGGCGGACTCGGGACGTTGGTTAAGGAAAAAAGATCTGCTTCCCGTCCTAAGATTGCGTCATTGGATGACGTCACTCTGTTAAAATATATTGTGTCGTTTGTGGTAAAAATTATTTGTCTTAAAAATGACTTGTCGGGAAAATGGCTTGTCAGGAAAATGGCTTGTCGGGAAAACGACTTTCGGGAAAATGACTTTCGGGAAAATGGTGTCGGGAAAAATCTTGTCGGGAAAATGGTGTGTCGGGAAAATGGTCTGTCGGGAAATTGGTCTGTCGGGAAAATGACTTTCGGAAAAGTGACCGGGAATCGTAATAGATACTTACCTAGTCAACTTTTTATTAATGATCTGTTAAAAGTTTTGAGAAAACATTATTGCAAAAAGAAGTAGAGGCTGAATTTGTAAGTATATAAAGGGCGATTTTAATAATGTTAATTTGTTTTTAAAACAGGGTGCTAAAAAACAAGCGACAACTTATAATTTAATGATATTTGGTAGCCAAAATAAGAGTTTAATTTCTATATTTTTTTTAACTTTATACTGTTTTTTCAACTGGTACTTAAAACATACAATAATTTTGCTAAATAACCAAGATGGATACACTTTTTTATTATAATTGTTGTGACAATTAATTTTATGCAAATTCCATATTTTTCATTATTTTTTTACCTCTTAAGGTTGCAGGGTGCATTTGACTTGAATAAATAAAATCAAACAAATTATTATTTGTACCAAATATCATTTACATAACTACATAAAGAATAGTTGTTCTTTGTTTTGAAAACAAATCAATAAACAAAAATAATATTAAATTGTATTTTTTTTCAGTTTCAGTATATAACAAAAATTGGAGGCGTCTCAGAGAAAGATGCCACAGTAAGAGTTTTAAAGAAAATCTTCTCAAATAATTTGGCAAAAGATTGCTCTTGGCTGGGGCTAAGAAACAACAATAAAATTCAAAATTTAAAATCTGTTGAAATATTGAAGGGTAAAAATGTAAATTTTATGGGATTTTTTATTAAATAAATTTTTTTAAGCTGCTGTGTGCACTTCGACAGACAAAAATTTTGAAGGCATAGTTTCCGAATGGTTCCGACAGGCCAAACAAAGATTTGGTATACCCTATAGGGAAGCAAAAAACCCATGAAAATAAGGTATATTAATATTAAATTCATGGGATTGCTTTATCTTTTTTACCATATATTTTTTAGCTTTGAAGTATTAATGTATTTGAGATTTTTTTGTTTGGAAAAACTTTTCGTTTGTTTTAAGAAGTTAGAAAGAAGAAATGATTTGTTTTTTTTTAAATTAAAATAATTTTTAATAAACATTTAAACTAATTTGTTTTTTTTAATCTCTTTCAGAATCATTTATTTTTGTAATGTTTACTTATTATTTATGTAATATTTATTTATAATTTATTTAATATATTATCTAACTGGCATTAACAATTTCTTAGTTCTAATTTGGTATTATGGCAATTTTAAAATTTTGTTGATTTTTTTTCAAAAAATTTGCCATAATACCAAGTTAGGGCTAAGCAATTTTTAATACCAGTAAGATAATATATTACATGAAATTATATTTATAAATATTTCATAAATAATATGTAAATATTGCATAAATAGAATATAATTGTTTTATTACGTTTACATAACTATGATATGGCGCTGTAACATTACAGTTACATATCTATGATAAAACACTGTTACATCACAGATACATACCCAGGAAGGAGTCTTGAGGCGGACATAGGAGCATCGCCATTACATATAGGTGACATAGCTGTTGCATAGTAAGGAACAATTTTTATGTAAATGTTATATCACTATTACATAACTGATATGGCGCTGTAACATTACAGTTACATAACTATGATAAAACACTGTTACATCACAGTTACATACCCAGGAAGGCGTCTTGAGGCGGACATAGGAGCATTGCCATTACATATAGGTGACATAGCTGTTGCATAGTAAGGAACATTTTTTATGTAAATGTTATATCACTATTACATAACTGATATGGCGCTGTAACATTACAGTTACATAACTATGATAAAACACTGTTACATCACAGTTACATACCCAGGAAGGCGTCTTGAGGCGGACATAGGAGCATCGCCATTACATATAGGTGACATAGCTGTTGCATAGTAAGGAACAATTTTTATGTAAATGTTATATCACTATTACATAACTGATATGGCGCTGTAACATTACAGTTACATAACTATGATAAAACACTGTTACATCACAGATACATACCCAGGAAGGAGTCTTGAGGCGGACATAGGAGCATCGCCATTACATATAGGTGACATAGCTGTTGCATAGTAAGGAACAATTTTTATGTAAATGTTATATCACTATTACATAACTGATATGGCGCTGTAACATTACAGTTACATAACTATGATAAAACACTGTTACATCACAGTTACATACCCAGGAAGGCGTCTTGAGGCGGACATAGGAGCATTGCCATTACATATAGGTGACATAGCTGTTGCATAGTAAGGAACATTTTTTATGTAAATGTTATATCACTGTGACATGATTTGGTTTGCTGGGTAGTGTCGGACAAAATTTATTTGTTATTATTTCATAAAAAGAATAAGTAACAAAATGGACGATTTAAAATGGATAGACTACTTTCTTTTTATATTTTCCTATAGATATACAGTGTGACCCATTTGTTTGCGACTCCTGCAAAATCTTTATTTATTGTGCGATTTTAACCGGATTTGTTTTAAAGTGTAGATCTTGATAAACTGTATTTTTTTGGAGCACGGCGCTGGATTCACCACCCACGACACTATACTTAATTTTATTGAAAAATTTTAAGTAGAAAAATGCAACTACAAAAAATAATTCTGTCAAGTTATTCATGAAAAAAATATTAAACAATAAAATTAAACTAATAGTAACATGGTACTATGACTATAAGTTTAATTTTATTTTAATGGTTTTAGCATGGATAACTTGACACAATAAATTTTTGTAGTTATTACTGTGCATTTTTCTACTTAAAATTTTTCAATAAAATTTAGTATAGGGTCGTTTTGAGGGGTGGTGAATCCAGTCCCTTGCTTTTTGTTCAAAAAAATCGCTAATAAAAATTCTTAAAAATTTACTCTTAAAAACTGACATAGTAGGCCTTGTATTTTGTAAAAATATGGCGCTTTTGCTCCAAAAATACAGTTTATCAAGAACTACACAATGTGTAGTTCTTGATAAACTGTGTGTAGTACACATCCTGTAAAAATCGCACAATAAATAAAGATTTTACAGGGGTGAGTCGCAAACAAATGGGTCACACTGTATATCTATAGAAAAGTATAAAAAGAAAGTATACTTTCTATATACAATATATAGACTATAGTCTATCCATTCTGGTGGATTTTAGGTATATCAATATTTCAGTTATTAGACATGGGACCCATACCAAATTTATAATAGTTTATAATGACATTAAATAGACAAGTTCGGCGCAAACAGAATTTAAATTGAAGTTTGCGAAAAAAGTTAGATTTTCCTGTTGCCTCACCCGTCTCCAGGCCCCCCTATTTAAGATAATTCAAATTAAAGTGGTGCAATTTATTATCTACTATAATTTATCGACAAATTTAAAATTTTATTTAAAAAAACCAAATATTACAGGTTTTATACCTTTTTAAATATTTTTTTATTTGAATAAAATAAATATTAAAAATTTAAAATCGAATAAAATCTGTAATATTTGGATTTTTTAAATAAAATTTTAAATTTGTCGATAAATTATAGTAGATAATAAATTGCACCACTTTAATTTGAATTATCTCAAATAGGGGGGCCTGGAGGCGGGTGAGGCAACAGGAAAAACTAACTTTTTTGCAAACTTCAATTTAAATTCTGTTTGCGCTGAACTTATTATTTAATGTCATTATAAACTATTATAAATTTGGTGTGGGTCCCATGTCTAATAACTGAGATATGGGTATACATAAAATCCACCAGCCGCCACTGAACTACACTTTAAAACAAGTCCGGTTAAAATCGCACAATAAATAAAGATTTTACAGGGGTCAGTCGCAAACAAATGGGTCACACTGTATATATAATTCGGCATATATCTTATTTTAATAAATACGTTTTAAGTCAAAAAATAATGTTTATTAATTTAAATTTAAAATATTTAAAAATAAAATGAAATTTAATTAATACAATTGAATATATTGATACTTTATTTATATTAAATTATAAAAATAGTTGGTACGTCTTAAGTAAGTAATAATTTATATGTGATTATGTTTCATGGGATGTCTTCTTGTAGACACCGGCAATCTATTGACTAAAACTGACGGTGGAATTACCTCATCCACCACACTGCAATCGACTTGATTCATTTCGAACATATAGTGAAGATCAATGTCGTATCTAGGTAATTTGTCTTTTAAGTAGGAAATAACATTTCGTCCCAGCACTGGTTCGCGGCTCATTATAAAACTTGATAGGTATCTGGGTACCTTGGATTTTTCGGCGCAGTGCAAAAGCAGGGACCAAGATGTGTAGTCTGAGTCTAAGACGTAGGTGTTGTAAATTCCTTCATCTAAAATAAGAAAAATGTTATTGTATTGATTTTTTAAGTATATTTAAATTTTCGAACTAAATGTGTCAATTTATTTTTGTTTAATTTTAAAAAGCTCATAAAGAAACATAAAGATTTTTAATAAAAATTGAGCTATAAGCTAAAGAAGCATCGGGTTTTCGCAACGCACGTGGCATCTGGTGGCACTCGATAGCATTATTGAACTACAAGGTTTGTCAATAATACATTTAAAGCATACGAAATGTACATCATTTTAAAATAAATAAGTATTTTTTTTTCACAAAAGAAAGAAAGTCTTACTCGACAAATTATGTTTGCAAAGTGTCAGTTGCACAAATAATCGCGCACGTTATTTGTTATTCGCGTTGCAAGTAAAAACTGGAAAACTTTGGTTTAAATTGGTACTCGATTTCAAATTATTATTTCTTATATCATTGATAAGGAACTCAACGCTTATATGCTGATATAGTTGCGTTAGTGTGTGTAGTTTATCTAAATAATCATGGTGAATTATTGTGTTTTTAATTTTAAATGTAATTCGAATTGATCAAGAACTAAATCGTTGCATTTTGATGTTTTGCCAAAGGATCCAATTCGGTACGTATATTTGTTGGTGCAAAATTAACTAATTATAAGTCTACCTAATATAATTTTTATTTAGGTTTAGACATTTTAAAGAAATTTAAGGAAAGATTATAGTTGTATAAACATAACCTTAAAATCAACCATTTTTATATTTGAGTCCTAAAAACGCTGACAACTTTATTTTAAAATAGTAAATGACAAAATATATCTACGAATTTATGGCAACATAAATATATACCTACATGGTGTTTCACATTCGTGGTTTATTAGAAGTTTCTGGTGAACGGAAAAAGATATAGATTTCAAATTTTAAAAGTGTTTATAATCTTTGCAAACCTCATAACAAAAAAGTTATAGCCTATTTTGACAAATTAATTAAATAAAACATTCGTACATTGTGATGCTGAAAAGCTATCATTATGAATAAACACGGAAGAGTTTCAATACTCGATAAAATGTTCAAATGTCGCACCCGCTACATTTTGGGAAAATATTAGAAAATAAAGTGTACAATATTTGTGCATTTAAAATACCTGCTTGTTTAAGGTTACTATTTAAGTTTTACAAAAAAAAACCTTACTGTATGCCTTCATTCAAAATTTTACAGTTCCTATCAATTTAAGAAGCCAACTTGGTACCATTTGGCGATTTTCTAAGGTCGCGCCCGTTACGCAATTCATGACGTTATAAAAGGTTTTCTATACAAGTTTTAATTGACATTTTGTTTAAGTTAAATATCTAATTTTTTATACTATTTTTGTATATTAACGTATCTTGAACGCAGTGTCAGTGTCGCACCCGTTACAATGGAAATACCGAAACGTTTTAAAAAATTTAAATCGATACCCAGAACCTTTTAATGGACCATGAATGTGAAACACCCTGTATAATACATAATATAATATTCTTTTTTATTTTTTTATTATCAAGTGGAGACTTTCTAATAATGCATAATGCTGTTTAGTCGACATTTGTTTTATGATTTTATGTAACTGAATTGAAATGTTTACAATTTTAACGTAAATAATAACTAAAATGTATATTTATTATATCTAATATATTACCTATAGGTACAATTTATATTTACAGGGACTGTATGCAATTTATTTCTTCATTCGGATTTCCACTGTTTTTTGGGAAACCGGTAAAAACTCAAAACAGGATTTCATCTCGAAAAACAACATTTTCTGGCCTTTTTTCCAAAACCATAGAGAAACAAACCTTGTTTCTCTATGGGCTTTACAGGAAAGCCTTTACTATAAATTGGGGAAAAGTAAGGTTAAATCCGTTGACAGTTGTCAGATGCATTATTGTTATGCATTATTATTAAGTATGATTTATAAAGTTTTATTAACTGCTCTAAAAACTCGTTTTTATTAAACACTCGCTCGCAAGCTTCGCTCGTGCCTAATACGTACAGTTGCCCGAACTAGATTTCAGTTACCTGGTAACTTTTGCTGAGTGATGCGTGCTTTAAAGACCCGCGCATTCTTTAATTTTCTGCGGTGAGTGATCCAAAAGGGTGTCGGAACCTTTATAATCTGTGGTCGGAATTTGAGGTTAGGTCATCTGTGAAGTATATATTTTCTTTCATATAAATAACTCAGCTTCTTGATTTATAAGTTGATCCTTTTTTTCCAGAATTTTATGGAAAGCTTAGTGAAGGTTTCTTTTTTTTTTCAAAATACCAGGCCGCTTAAATTTGAGTTCCATTTTTGGAAACGCAATCGGAAAATATTCGGACACTTTTTTATGGCTATCATTAATTGAACTATATACCAACTTTGTAAAAAAATAAAAAACAAACAAATGCTTTATATTTACATTGTATACAATGCTTGGCTATAGCCAAGCAAATAAAAAAATAGCCTATAGGCTATTATAAGTTATAACTATAGTTTTGACTATATATAGTACCTATAGGTACTATTAAAATTCATGATTTAAAATGAAAAAAACTGCACATGTTTTCGTCAGCATTTATATTTAGTTATGTATAAATATGTAAATTTAATAGCGTATTAATAAATAAGTAAATATTAACATCGATTTTTAGGTAAAAATTTACATTCGTTGGAATGTAAACATGAACCCATATCCCACATTTTTTCACTTACAATATAAAGGATTTCTATGACTTGAATTTAAATTTTTGTACTTAATTAGCATTTAAACTAAATTCTTTCAATTGGATAAATTATTTTAACATGTAGAGTTTAAAAGAAAATAAATAAATACTTATATTTAAAATAAAAATAGAATAGGTAAGTAAAATTTGAAAGAATATTCTTAAGTTGTTTCAAGATGTATTAGGTAGGTACTTACAAGTATCTTCAGAATGTGTCCAATGAGCTGGTTGTGCAGGGTCCGGAATAGTCCAAGTAATATTTCCCAAAAGTTGCTCATTAATTGGATCATCGGTAAAACTGTATGTAAAATTCATTGTGACCTGTAAAGTAGACATGGAGAATTCAGCGTGCATACACCTGTATGATAAAGCTTCTTCCGAACTAGCGTAATATTCAATTACATACCAATCACCCATCATCTAAAACAAAATATTATATAAATTTTTTAAAAAGAATTCTTTAAAATTACTTTTTCCAAATCGAAGTTTCGTATTGCCTTGACTTTGGGACATTTTGTCTTATCTTCAGGTCTTTTTCTTCTACCCTGGCAACTATAAGAATTTAGTAATATTAAGAATGTTAAAAGTGACACTAAAATTTTCATTTTAACCGGTTTAACATTTAAAATAACTAAAGTATAAACATAGGAAGCAAATTATTTATCAATGAAAGTGGGAGCTCTTATCTCACTCTTTGACAAACAGTATAATTAAAGTATAATTAATAACAGATTATTCAATTCTTTTGCTATATTATTAACTTGCAAAATATAAATTGTATAAACAATGACGCATTTTCTTGGGATTAATATTTTAAATTTAGAAATGTTATTATAAATAGCCAGATCTAGACACCAGATTCTAGGTAGGTAAAATTCCTATTGGTTCGATTGCAAAATGTGTTTTAATAGTACCTATATTAATATACTATAATTATGTATCAAGATTTATGAACGCCATTTAAGTTACGAGTTTAATTAAGCAGGAGCGAAGCTTGCAAGCAAGTGTTTAATAAAACGAGTGTAGAGAAGTTTATAAACGAGTTGCATTCTATTCTTTATCTACGATGAACAAAACAGAATTTAAAGCCAATTTTATTTTTTAAAAACTTGACATCTGTCAACTGTAGCTAACTTCAGCCAGTGACTATAAAGCTTTAAAGCCACTGTTTCTAAATTCAGCCCATGACTAAAACGCCATAAAGTCACAGCTCGTTAGTGTAGGAGTATACTCCTATAGATACTATAGATAAATATTTTTTCCCATCTTTATAACGTTCATTAACGTACATGTTTCCATGATACTAAGTAACCTTTTAAATACACATTGACAAGTTGTGGCTTTATGGCGTTTAAGTCACGGGCTGAAGTTAGCAACAGGGTTATAGTGACGGGTTGAAGTTAGTTTTAAGTTAGTTAACAGTTGTCAAATTTCATACATTTTTGATTTCGCTTGCAGTAACCCAGTGGTGGCTGGTGGATTTTATGTATACCAATATCTCAGTTATTAGACATGGGACCCACACCAAATTTATAATAGTTTATAATGACATTAAATAAACAAGTTCGGCGCAAACAGAATTTAAATTGAAGTTTGCGAAAAAAAAGTTAGTTTTTTCTGTCGCCTCACCCGCCTCCAGGACCCCCTATTTGAGATAATTCAAATTAAAGTGGTGCAATTTATTATCTACTATAATTTCTCGACAAATTTAAAAATTTTATTAAAAAAATCCAAATATTACAGGTTTTATACCATTTTAAATATTTTTTTATTTTAATAAAATAAATAATAAAAATTTAAAATCGAATAACATCTGTAATATTTGGATTTTTTAAATAAAATTTTAAATTTTTCGATAAATTATAGTAGATAATAAATTGCACCACTTTAATTTGAATTATCTTAAATAGGGGGGCCTGGAGGCGGGTGAGGCGACAAAAAAAACTAACTTTTTTTCGCAAACTTCATTTAAATTCTGTTTGCGCCGAACTTGTTTATTTAATGTCATTATAAACTATTATAAATTTGGTGTGGGTCCCATGTCTAATAACTGAGATATTGGTATACATAAAATCCACCAGCCGCCACTGCAGTAACCTACATTCAACTGATTAAACATTACAAATTTTGGTTGGAGACTTCACCGCGGAGTGCCCATAGAACATTATCTTTACTTTCACTGTGAAAAACTGCTTCTATATCGGTGGTTAGTCCATTTTCAAGGTATAAATTAGATTTACACATAAAAATTCGCCATTTTGACCGGCGAGCTGGTAATACAGATTCCCAAATTAGAATGGTTACTCTATTGATTTATAGATGTCTCTCTATTTAAATATTTAATTTAAATAATTTTTTGATAATATATTATAATAAATATTTGTCCTAGAAAAAGTATAGTAAGCAACTCTTTTATAAACTTTTCTAGACACTCATTTAATTAAACACTTGCTTGCAATCTCGCTCGTGCCTAAATAAAATTCGTGACTAAAATGGCGTTTATCAAACTTGATCATAATACTATTAGAGCAATTTACTAAATCATATTTGTCTTTTCCTCTTTAATCCAATTGTTGTGTTTCGAAGGGACAAAATAGTAAGCCAAATTACTTTGTATTCGTAGGTACTACCAAATCATTATTATTTGATTAGAAATTAAGCAGATTGGTATCAAACTTATAATCATTATTTACATCATGTTTTTTAATACATATTATTAATATTTTTTAATTTTATTATAATAACAGTACCTACAATGTTTTTGTATATGTGTTTTATAAAACACACATACCCCAATATTTTTTTAATCCATTCTATTAACTAAGATTAATCCACGAAAATAGCAAAATACCCAAAAGCTAAATTTCGGAAATTTATGAAAATTTCAAGGAATTTCAATTAAAATAAAAATGACTCATACGTACTTGTACTCGTAATAAATACCTATAATTTGCTAATAAAACTTAAAATTCATTAGGCATGAGAAGAAAAATACAACGTGAAAAGCGCGCCGGTACATTTTTAAATAGCCTGCGGATGTCAATTGACCTACGACTAGTTTAGCATTATTAACTAACTGTTAAATTAGAAGACCAAGAAAAATATTTACGGGGTGTGTTAATGGAGTAACATCTGAATTATTTATTGATGATCTGGGATTGAACCTGAAACTTGTGTATAATATAGAGGGTGTAATAGAGGTTACAGATCTCAACAAGACTAAAATATTTATTTAAAAAAACGTCAATCTTGATTAAATCTATAACCTTTATTACGTTGTATATTTTGTGAAAAAACCCTGTGCATACAAAGAAGATTTAGCAATATAACTCGAGAGTCAGGACACCACAGGGTCATTTCACGTCAGATTAAAGAGTGTAGTTTACGACACTGACTCAGGTTTTCCTAAAATTTTGTGTAGATGATATATATAGGCTAGGGTAACGAAACAATCTTATTTTTGAAGGTGCCAAGATAATTAATTTTCCTAAAAATAAATTATTGTAATTTTTTCCAAGTTGTGCAATTTTTTTTCATAACTCCTAAATGTAATATTAAAAAATTGTAAAAACTACCGTAATTATTTTACTTATTAGCTTACCCTTAATTATTAGAAGCATAATGAACATGTCTGCAATAGTATTTAATTTAATTACGGTAGCTTTTACTTACAATTTTTGCTCTACAGTAAAAGTTTGTTTTTAGGGGTTACTTTTCAAGCTGATTTTAAAAATGTAATCAAAATTTGTGTGTTTTCTATTGTTTTTGCATTATTGTATATATACTCTATAGAGCGACATGTATACAAAAATAAAGTAACCGTAAGAATAGGAATCTGTATTACCTGTGCGCCGGTAAAAATGTTACATTTGTATGTGTAAATAAAAATGTAACTAAGCTAAAGGCCATTCCCCCTGAAGACGGAGAAGGTTTCAGATCGAAGAAGAAATCGAAATGTATCCCTTGAAACAAAAGTTTTTCACTGTGAAAGTGAAGAAAATGTTTATGGGCACTCCACGGTGGTCTCCACCCGAAATTAAGTTAAATATTGTTTACTGCCGGCGAAATTAAAAGGGCATTAAATTGTTTATACAAACTTTTTAAATATTATCGTCGAGAAACGCCCACATGCGTCTAACTTCACCAAGTTATAACGCGCGGCCTGTACATTGTTTTATATGGTTTTATACCAGGTAAGTTGAATTTACCGTGAAGGGCTGGTTGCTATTGACGACGGGAGGTAAGTGAGCTACTAACCTCCCCAAACAACGTCTTAATAACGACACAATAAAAGCAGGCTAAGTGACATCCTTTAATGTTAAAAAAATACTTAATATCAGTGGCAAAATAAATTGATCAAAAAAAGTATTTTTATAACTTGAAACCTAGCTGTGGAATAGAGATGATACAAAATACTAGGAACAGGTATCGATTTCATAAAATACTAGGTTCAAATAGTATTAAAAAAATACCTACTAGGTCCACCTATTATTTCAGAAAATACTAGGTCAATCTAGTATTATGGAAAATACTGGGTGCGCCTAGTATTTTCGAAAATTTTAGGTTTACCTAGTATAACTAGTGGGTAGCAGTATTTTTAGGAACGTGTATATTATTTAACACTTAATTTATGAAATTTTAACTGTTACTACGAACTAATAAATCATCTTATTACATTTAATAGACAGTCTATCACAGACTACTCTGGTGGGAGACCAACATGAAAACACAAAATACTACAAAATACGCTCAGATGAAAATACTAGGTATTAAAGTAACAGGTATTTGGAACAGGTATGGACTTGGACCATATTCTTGTTCTTCTTCTTCTTCCTTGGTGGCCAAAGGCCTTAATGGTCTCGGATTCAATGTACCACTTTGACCAGAAGCAAGTTTTAACGGCCATGCGTTTCACGAAGCCATCCACCCATAGACACGTGAATTTTCCAATCTTGGATCATCCACTCAATGTATTGTGCAAATCACAAAATACCTCGCTAAAAGGTCAAAGCCTGCGATATTGTTCCAAAATACAGGTATATTTCTAGACCCGGAATCCAATTTTGTCCATCCTGGGTCAAAGTCAGCTATTTTTCACACTTTTTCATCGAGCGATGGCCCAGAGCTGAGAATGCGATGCACTACACATGAAGGACAAAATCGAACTCGTGACTTGGACCAAAGATAATATCTAAGGTATTATATTTGACTTGGACCTCTTATACGACGTACCTGTACCCAAAAAATACTGATTTGTAACATATCTACTGTGGAAGCAGATAAAACCGTTTTATTATCTACACCACGCTAGAGGTAAGTTTTGACCAGTCTCGGACTCTTTTGCCTAGTAAAATCTACTTACCTCCTTTGTAGTGTAATATACTATTATTTGAAATAACTAATGCGGAAATTGCTACTTTCCGCGCTTTGTAGGTCCAATATTTTTTATGCAAGAAAGGGAATTTCGCAATTTTCTTTATCAGTTTCCATTTGTTGAAAAAATAGTTTGTCTACAAGCTTGCAACTTCCCGCACGCACAAACATTTACCGCCAGTTAATGCGTTTTTTGTGCTCCTTTTTAATTTTTAAATGCCTGCGAATCCGGTCTCTAT